GTAGCTATAGTAGCTCCTGATTTGCACAGTTAAGCATAACTCATAATTTGCTTTGTGTGGTGATCTGTGAAAGAAGCTAATATTATAAGGAATGCTAAAATAGTCTAAGAGTCTTTGGCTCTAATACAGGATAATATTGTTGAACCAGAAATCCTGGGTAAGCAATATGTAGCTCGACCATGTGACTCATAGGATGAACTAAGATAATCTTTTGGCTGTGCTAATACACTTCAACCTTTGTCTCTGAGTTGGGCTAAAACTCTATTTAAAAAAGTAATCATGATTAGTGATTGAGAATTATGGTAGATATATCCAAAAGATCTGGAATCACAAGGGTGGAGGAGACAGAACTAAAGTATCCTTTGTTTTCTTTTATTTGTATCAGAGGGGTATTCACCTTCCGCAACAAAAACAACAAAAAGCTTAAAGTCTAATACATTGATTTTGCTAAATTTTTGATCCACAAAATTATGAAAATAACTTGGTTAGTTTAACATTTCCATAATACTGTTGTCTTATGTATTTACTGCTTAGTAATGCTGCCAAGGAAGATGAAGTTGCAGTCAAGGACAACTAAAGGGTATCAAATTGGGGAGGGATGGACTATTTGTGCCATTTGGATCTTTGTAGTGTTTGTTTAGAAAACAAATCTTATTATGTGAACTTTGGATCATTTAAAATGGATACAGGTAATTTAATAAGCCTCAAACTTGGCCCACCTCTAAATGTTTTCTTTTTTCCTAAAGCAATTACATTCATTTCTGGATCAAAATTGGTACAACATTGCATCTCTTTGATTAAATGATGCGGAATCATTCCTGACCACAGGCTCCAGTCAGGTTCCAAACATCACCTTCATATATTGTATTTCTAGTTTGGCAGCCAAAATTACATCATGATATCAGTAGTGACTGGAGCAGAAGTGACATTTCAATTTTCAGAGATGCAGGCAAAGCTTTATTACTGATCAGTACAGTAACTGTGATTTTTTATTGTGCTTTTTCTGGAGATATCTTGAAAAGGCATTTTGTATTCCTATTAAGTTCCTAACATTTCCTTTTTTAACCATGATGTTCCTATCCATGTGTGTCTTTTTCTTAATCTCTACAGGCATACAATATTAGTGCACAAGACAGTTAAACCCTGCAGAGCAAACCCTTCTACTCTTAGGGCCTACTTAGAATGGATCTTATTTTTTCATACATGTTCAATCATACCCTAATTGAAACATATACATATACATACTTACAAAAGACAAAACACTAGACACTCAAAATACCAGTTGCTAGAAGCTCAAAACACTAGAGTAGACACTTAAGACTAAAGGTCTAGGTCAGCGGTTCTCAACTTGTGGGTCACAACCCTTTTGGGGGTCGCACGAGCCTTTCACAGGAGTCACCTAAGACCATCGGAAAACACATATTTCCGATGGTCTTAAGTAGGGCTTGTCAACCACCTTCTCTCCCTCCTCCCCTCCACTCCACCTCACTTGTTTGTGGAAAATATGCTGCGTGGCAGCAGTCTGCCCTGCAGGGGGCGCATGAAGAGCACAGGCGCAGAACAAGGCCCCGCCCTCCCCAGAGACTCATTGTGCAGCAACCAGATTGACTTCTGCTCGTGCATGCAGGTCAGTGAAGCGGAGGCCGCCGCAGCACCCAACTCCTGCGCCCGTCAGCTGGTGACCCCCGAACTTGCGCTTGTCAGCCGGGAGGTCTGGTGACAGCCACTGGTCTCCTTTGCCACTACGCCCATCCTTGACTTCTCCTCCTCCCGTTTATGTTGAGCCCGCCAGGGCTTGAGAGGGAGAGAGGGAGGAAAGGAGGAAGGGACTCCTCCTCCTCTCCTAAGCTTCAAAACACGATCGGCTTCCCAAGGGCGCCACAATCCTCATGAAAGTGGGGGGGAGAAGCAAAGGGGGCAAGAAAGCTCGCAGCAGGCTCGAAGGAGCACCTGTTAGTGTTGGTGACGAGAAATTCCCCACAAACCCAGGGAAGGGGTGGAGAAAAGGAGCTCCCTTTGGGAGGAAACCGCCACCTTCTTCTCCTTGGCTTTGTGCTCTTCTGTTCCTTGGCAGCCAGGCTGCCAAGCCTCTGCTGGCTGGAACTTCCTTTCCTTCCCTCCCTTTTGGTCTCTTCCTCCTTCCCTCCCTCTCCCATTGTCCCTTCCTTCCTTTCCTTTGCCTCCCTCTTTGTCCCTCCTTCCGTCTCTCTCTCTCTCTCTCCTTATCCCTTCCCCCCTTCCTTTCCTTCGCCTCCCTCTTTGTCCCTTCTTCCCTCCCTCTTTCCCCTTGTCCCTTCTGTCCTTCCTTCCTTCCCTCTTGTCCAGGATCAGGGTGAACCCTACAGTTGATCCGCGCTTCTGCAGAGCAGCCAAGAAGTAGGTCAGCTGTAGCAGCTCTTCTTGGCTCCACCCAACAAACTTGCTTGAGCTTTGCTAGAAAACATGACGCTTGCTAATTTAGCAGACGTGCGAATCAGCTGTAGCCCAGCACTGATCCTGGGGCTTCTGCTAACTTAGCAAGCGACATGTTTTCTGGCGAAGCTGAGCAAGTGAGCTGGGCGGAACTCTCCTCTGCCTCTGGCAGCCTGTCCCCCTCCCCTTGTCCCTTCCTGGGCACGGAGGGGGGAGGAAGGAAGGGAAGAAGAGGGAGGGAAGTAAGGGACAATGAGAGAGGGAAGGAAGGAACAATGGAAGGGAAGGAAGGAAGGGACAAGGAAGGAAGGAAGGAAGGAAGGAAGGAAGGAAGGAAGGAAGGAAGGAAGGAAGGAAGGAAGGAAGGAAGGAGACAATGTAACACTCTGAACGTTCTGAGCCACTGTGACGTTTCGAATCAGCGAGCATGAAAGTACCAACTCACAAAGCTGCAAGCGCCACAGCAGGGATGGAAAGGTGAATCGCTCGCTCTTCCAACTCTCATGCTGCTTAAGGCTTCGCATACAGCGAGCCACCGAGGCCAATTTCCTCCATGAGAAGAAAACGCTTTCCCTCTGCTCCCCCCCACCCGAACTCTCCTCCTTGAAAGGAGTGGAGCTGAGAGACAGGAGCTCCTCAAGCGCTACAGTGGGCAGTTCTTAGGGAAATTACTCTCCTCTCTGACCGTTTTGAAATAAAATAATAAAATATACTAAGGGAAATTGGGATTCATTTCACTCCAAATGCAAAGCTGGGAGATGTAGAGAATTATTGGAAAGTTGTCATTTCTATAACTGAATCTTTTTCGAATAACCAGGAAGAAGACAATCCTAAATTGTTGAATAGAATAGAATAGAATAGAATAGAATAGAATAGAATAGAATAGAATAGAATAGAATAGAATAGAATATAGACCAGACCAGAGTAGAGTAGTAGTAGAGTAGAGTAGAGTAGAGTAGAATAGAATAGAATAGAATAGAATAGAATAGAATAGAATAGAATAGAATAGAATAGAATAGAATAGAGACCAAACCAGAATAGAGTAGAGTAGAGTAGAATAGAGTAGAGTAGAATAGAATAGAATGGAATGGAATGGAATGGAATAGAATAGAATAGAATAGAATAGAATAGAATAGAATAGAATAGAATTATGTTCAATTTGTAACAATGAAAGTACATCCTGCATATCAGATATTTACATTACAATTCATAACAGTAGCAAAACTACAGTTATGAAGTAGCAACAAAAATAATTTTATGGTTGGGGGTCACCACAACATAAGGAACTGTATTAAAGGGTCACGGCATTAGGAAGGTTGAGAACCACTCCTTTAGATGAAACAGATAATACAATAAAATTTATGCCATTTGCATAAATGATGTCACAGATAATCAAAAATAATAGTCACCCTCTCTCCAAATTAGTCCTAAAATTAAGTTTGATATGTACAAGGAAATATAAAAGGAAATGTAGCACTGTTAGTCATTGATGAATATCTACAGATAGGTTTGGAAAAAATACAGCATCCTTGTTTCATACAGTAAGTTCAAGAATGTATACCCTCAGTAGGTGGTACAACTAAAAGAAGAGCATTTGATGTTAGAGATCAGTATTACTGGGATAAGCATTGTCTTGGAACGGAATTTAGTACTTAAAGCAAATATCAGTCTTATACAGGTACTGTAGTCCTTGACTTATGACCACAATTGACCCCAAAATTTCGGTTGCTCAGAGAGTTTTGCTCCATTTTATGACTTTTTCTTGCCACAGTTGTTCAATGAATCACCACAGTTATTAATTTAGTAACCCCCTTGTTAACTGAATCTACTGTAGTTTCCCCATTGACTTTGCTTCTCAGAAGGCCGCAAAAGGTGATCACATGATCCTGGGACACTGCAACTGTCATAAATATGAACCAGTTGCCAAGCATCTTACTTTTGATCACGTGACCACGGGGATGCTGCAACAGTTGTAAGTGTGAAAAATGGTCATAAGTCCCTTTTTTCAGCACTGTTGTAACTTCGAACGGTCACTAAATGAAATGTTGTAAGGCAAAAACTATCTATTATAGATCTCTAGTTAGAATACATTTTTAAGTAACCCAAACAAAAAAAAGGAGGGCTGGTCATATTTTGTTCCTCCGTAAAATGTAATATTGGTTATGGTGCTAAACTGGCAACAGGTTCTAATCTATTCTCAGCCAAATCAACATCCTGGATAACTTTGGAGGACTCCTTCTCTCTCTCTCTCTCTCTCTCTCTCTCTCTCTCTCTCTCTCTCTCTCTCTCTCTCTTTCTTTCTCCCTCTCTCTCTCTCCCTCTCTCTCTCTCCCTCTCTCCCCCCCTCTCTCTCTCTCTTCCCCCCCCCCACGGAGTTATTGTAGGTAACAAGGGGAGGAGGAAGCATTTGGTATGCCATCTTCAGCTCTTAAATGTAATCAACTGTAAATGCAGACGCATCTTTGGGGATATAATATAACTATTGAGTCTTAATCAGTTTATTCAATTGAATGTAGCCAACAAATTAATGGAAGTAATTTTTGTGGGAATAAATAACCTGATTACCTATTTTCGAATGTTTTAAACAGAATGAAAGTGCCTTTGTAAAAGAAAAGGAGATCTCAGCTGAGCTTGCAAATGTCAAGGATGAAGTTGGTAAGTAGATGCTAAACAAGCAGTGTTAATTATATTTTTTGCTGGTTACCATTTTTTTAAAACACACACACACACACACAACAACAACAACAACAACAACTGGATTCTTATTTCTTGTTCTGTGAGATGAGATGAGATGAGGTGAGATGAGATGAGATGAATATATCAAGTAAGGTATCATCTCAAACCTCGAGGCAGGTTTTTATGGTTGTCAGGGGACAATAATTTATTCTTAGTGGTTGCAAAGACAGGTTCATAACCATGCACAGCAGAACTTATCATGCATTATCTTTAGTGTTCTCAGATGATTACCTGTAAAGCTATATTGCCTACTTTTCAACTACATTCTGCATAAATATAATATATAAACAAATATAAAATCCCAGACTAGAGCATTCACCAGTTTTGTAACATATAGGCATAATTAGTTCAACAATCAATAACTAAAGTCAAACTGCATTACTAATCAATATGGAGTTGGAACTGTGACTAATATGATCACCCCCACCTTCAGTTTTTTTTTTTTTTAGCAACAGCAACAACAATAAATACTCTGGTCTGAAGAGCTGTTGCCGTCTTTACTATCATTCAATTTAACATATTTAGGAGTAAAGGGGAATTCTGAGGTAAAAATGGTTGATGATAGATCTGCATTGCTTAGTTTGCCTCACAAGCTTACAAATAAGACAGCAGCAGAAGTATTATGAGCAACAGTGCTCGTATTAGCAAAGAAATAGCACCACTATTTTAATTTTCTGAGAAAGAGAACTATCGTGGTGAGGCTAGAAGCAGAAAATAATTTTAAATCAAGCTCCAGTATTTAATAATTTTCATTGAGATATAAAATGTAGGACAAAAATATCCATATGTAAAGGATTACAGCCTTTGCTGAAATTGCTATTCATTCTTATAGTGGCCCATATTCCTGATTTGCAATTATGGTGCACAAATAGAGGTCCTGTACACCAACTAAAAAGGGTTCACACAACTGGGAACAAATGCAAAGAAGGTCAAAAAAGGGCAGTCATTAAGAGACTGAAAACCTATTCTTGTGAAAAGAGATTAAGGAAGCAGGGTATGTTTGCCAAGAGAAATAGCCATAGATAGCACTAAATGACCAGACTCAAAATATCCCTCTTTGGACACATTACAAAACATCCAGTTTTCTGGGAAAGGCTCTAATGCTGGAAAGTTGGAAGAAAAGAAAAGAAGAGAATGACCAGAAAAGCAGTAAAGTGGATGGACCCAGTTACAATGGTAATGAAGGCATCGTTGAAAGACCTGAAGGACCAGTTTATGGATACATCATCATGGAGAAAATTTATCTGTGGAGTCGTTTGGAATTGAAAATGACTTAATGATACCTAATCAAGGGGAGTTACCAGAACTATCAGATACAGAATACATTGGTTATGATACTGGGCTGGTAGCAAGTTTGAATTTATTCTCAGTCAAAGAAGCTTCCTGAGTGACTTTGGGCCAGTCTCTTTCTCTTAGCCCAACCTATCTCACAGAGTTATTGTAGACAACAGTGCGAGGAGGAAGCACTGTGTATGCCATCTTCAGCTCCTGAATATAACAAAATATTATCCCAGAGTACAGGCATGAAATAATAAGATACATGAAGGCAGCTTCTAGTAGAATGTTGGGAAAAGTGACTATAAAAAAGCTTATATGGTAAGGGCAATTTGGCAATGAGGTCAGTTATCAAGATTGTTGGTGAATTTATCTCCACTGGTTTTGTTCAGTCAAAGGGATGCTTTAGTTTGCATTTCTACACTTGGCAGAGAGTGGCCTAAATGCTCTGTCTAGTTCTTTTATTCTATCTCATATATCTTTGCCCCTTTTTTGTGCAAAAATCAACTCTTTATGCTGCATAGTCTGTAAGTACCCAATCAACATGATCACCATTCTACAATTAAAAGAGGAAATATGAAGTGGCTGCTCCAACATATATGAATTTTGTGAAACCCTGTGTTGTATACTGTACATTCAGTCTGAGGACTGAAATAAATATCTGACGAACATATTTTGAGTAAGAGAAGTAAACATGAACGAACAACTCTTGATTTCCCAAACTGACAAAAATACTTTTTTCAATGACAGTAGGATTTGTCAATGAGAAAACTCATTAACTGTATTGGAATCTGAAGATCTGGAGATCTGAATGCTAAAGCAAAATATTATCATGCATGCACATGTGTTCTTGTCTCCTTTTGGATGCAGAATATAAAATACATAAATCAGTTAAACCTAAGGCTTTGTTCTGGCCAAAATCCATGAAAGAAATGGTTGCACCATTGCCATTCAGCTAATTCTTCAACTTACAATGTTACAAGCCTTGTAACCCAGAAATGCATAAAAATATTAGTCTTAACTACTGCACCATTCTGTCTAGTACAGAAATAAGTGATATAACTTGTGACATTTCACTTTTCTTTCCATTAAACAATACTGCATTTGGATTTATCTTTGCCAGTAGGTCATATGCTCAGGGAAATCACATCAGCTCAATGCTAAGAAAACATTTGAGGGCAAGTGCTGTGATTTAACTTCCAACCATCTGTCAGACCAGTAAATGTCATTTTCCATGGAACTTACATGTCGCCTTTAGGTCACAGATGAATTGTCCAAGGAAAGAAAATTATATCTTGGCACTCTCTTCGTAGGATGTAGTCTGTGTTTTCTTATGGTGATAGCTGTACCTAGTCATAGGTGGGGTTTCCTGCAGCAGTTTTGGTATGAGCGTAGATATGTGATTTAGAAGTTGTAGGCTTGTTCTTGGCTGAGAATTTTAACTCACCGTTACATAATCCCTTGAGTAATAGTTAGCTAAAGCTTTATTGTGGCATTTGACCAACATATGTACATGTACATATATTGATCACATACATAAAGTTCAAACAAGTTTAAAAGCTTAATTTTCTTTGCAAAGGGATATTGCACAAAAAGTTGTGATTTGTATACATGTGCTTCAGAAGCAAAACCTTTTGCTGCCATCCCTAAAAGGCCACCATTTGCATACCAGATATATAATGTAGCAGAAGTCTATAAAGGTTCTTTGTGGACAGTAATCCTGCTCATTCCTCCATATATTTTTTTAACTGGAATCAGAATTTTGTTGTGCCAAATGCTTCTAAAAAAAGTTACTGGCATAGGTAGCAACTCGCTATTTTTCCAAATTGTTTTTTTTATATATATACACTGAATTCATTTCAGGAATTCAGAAGGCTACAGCCTCTCCTTCCTGTGGATGGATGGGAATTTTGATCTGGTTAAGGAGTTGTTGGAAGAATTAGATAGCTATTAATAGTTTTACAAGGACTAGCTAACATGTCCCAACAGTTACTATTGAATCCAATTCTCAAATATAAAATTTCTGTAAATGAAGCTATCCATTTGAGTGCCTTGAAATAATGCTAAAATTTGACAGAGGAGTAGCTACTGACCATGATAGCTTACCAAGAGGAAGGAAATGAAGTATATGAAAGGAAGGAAGGAAGGAAGGAAGGAAGGAAGGAAGGAAGGAAGGAAGGAAGGAAGGAAGGAAAGAAAGAAAGAAAGAAAGAGAGAGAAAAAAAGCCGGGAGAAAGGATATGTCTTTCTTTTTACCACATTAAATTTTTCTTTGGAAATCTGATATAGAGCAGAACTTTGTTATATTGCTAATAATGTGAACCCACAGTTTATGCTCTGCTTGCGTCTATTTTATTAAACCATTTTATTACAGAAATGTCATAAAGAAATTGTATCCTGGCTCTCTTAACATTTTTCTCAGCTTGAAAATAAAGTGCATATGTGCAATGGTTTATAAACTGACAGAGTTTGTTACTGCAAATGCTGTTGCAGATAAGTTTCTAGTGTGTATATAATCTCTATATATAGCTTCATTCCGATCTTAAATATTGTATTTTATAGAAAAGTGCCTCAAAAACTACAATTTTCAGCCTGCTTTTTATTGTGTTTTAGATTTCTGTACACATTGCATGATTTGGCAGGTATTCTTCTATTGGTGCAACCTATACTATGCCAATCTCATTAAACAGATGTTTGAATGGCAAGTTTCAATTTAAAGCTTGAATGGGTTTCAATTATACTGGATTCCCAGTTCTGACTTTGAATGTATTTTTGTTTGATTGTTGACAGTTTCTATGCCACAATGGCAAGTTTAAAAAAAACACTAAAAGGTCACTGAATAAAATTACAGAATTATTTAAAGCAATTAAGAAAACTAGCAAAGAAATAAACAGAAATTGTCAGATGAAAGATTCTGTGATCTCATGGTTATAGTGTTGTATTAATTTAGAAAATCTTAAATCAAAATTCCAACTGAATTATAAAGTATATTGGGAGATTTGGACTATTTCTTGGACTGATTAAAATATATCATTTTCTTCCCTAGCATGGTCATTGTTAACAGTGAACAAGTCAGGACCATAAACCATGATTTGAACCTAATCCTCCTAAAACAACTCAGAACTTCCTAACTCTGGATTTAATGGGAAGGCATGGTTATTTGAACATACAAAGAAGACACATATACCATAAATACATGCCACCAATTTCACTTCCAAATCTATCAGAAAGAACTTTAAATGCATCCACAGTCATTTTCACTGGTACTGATCTTGAAACTTTGGAAACAAGAAGCAACGATAGCTGCTTCTTAGATAGCGCTAAATTATGCTACTCACTAAAAGGATTACAGTGCAACATTAATGAATTTGTCATCATAGCAATATCTAGAATTGCTGCAGATAAATACACTCAATATTAGAAAAAGTGTTTGATATTTAGTATGTAAAGTGAAAGTAAGATTTTAAAGATATTGTGTCCATAGGAAGAGGTAGGGTTGGTGGTTTTGGCAATGCTCAGTATGTAGAAGTGTCTGAAGAGCAACTTTACCTGAAGGAACTGATGTGATTTACAAATCAGTCTTAATCTGATCTCTAGAAATATATTAACAAATGTGCTTCACAACCATTTAGATAGCAAATCCTACCCATCAGTTAAATATGTCACTGGATGCTTTTCACTGAGACAGAACCAATTTATTCCATTTGTGATCATGAGCAGGTCCATTTCAGCACATTTTGCTATTTTGCTGAATTGAATCACCTGCATCTTTATTGTTAAAAGGAATCAGTCCTGACTTTTCTGCAGATCTTTAACCAGTGGTGGGATTCAGCCAGTTCACACCACTTCAGCAGAACCGGTAGCTAATTTTTTGTTGCCCAGGCCCAGAATGGACTTCCAGAAGTGGCATCCACACAGAGAACCTGTTGTTCACATATTTGAATCCCACCACTATCCTTAACGTGTGGTTCTTCTGATTTCAGCCCTCAATACAGGGAAATACGAGACCCTACAAAAAGAGAAGGAGGAGATGGAAAAGAAGTTTGAGGGGACTGTGCAGAAACTCACTTGGCAGCATCAGGAGGAGCTCCAGGCACTTGAAGAACGTTTGCAGTTACAGTACAGTGCTGAACTAGAACGTTTGCATGAGAATCACCAAGTCAAGCTTGACAGGATCAAGAGTCAGCATCAGGAACAGGTTGGTCATGTTCATTCAGTGTAAGCTCACTTGAGAGTGACTATGCTCCATGATTTGACAGGCAGACTTTATTTCTGTAAATTGCTGCTAAAACACATTTTTTAAATCATAGCACCAAGTCAACATGTGCATTTGAAATAGGCACTGTTGGTTGGAGGATTTTATTATGCTGTGGATGATGGGAGGTTACTGTTTTGAACTGGATGGTAGCAGAGCCTTTTGGGGTCATTTCCTGATCGGACCAAGCTGCAATGGTCTTCTGTCTTCTATCACTTCTATCAAGTGATTTATATTTTTTTGCCAGGCTGTTTGGCCATTTGGGAAGGAATCATGTGTGGTGCCCAAAGCCCATTTCTTTATCTGGGTTATGGCTTGGAGAACAAGCCCTGGTAGATTGGAGCCAGCAGCAAGGGCAGCTGGATTGTTGAATTGATGGGTGCATGAATTGGTTGCCTCATCCTGGAGGCGTTCTGTGTGCTTTGCAATGACACTTTTACAGTTTTCATCCAGTATTCAACCTTGACTTTTTAAGAAAGGTTGTGAAGAGTGAACATGTGTCACCTTCAAAGGACTCTGGATGAAGTACATTATCTGGACCTCTTTCAATCAGGGTTCAGGCCGGGTTATGATTCTGAGACTCATTGATTATAATCTTGGATGACTTCTAACAGGACTGGAATGAGGGTAATGCATCCACCATTGCTTTCCTTGATCTTTTAGTGGACTTCATTACCATCTATTATGGTGTTGAAAGAAAAATCAGGTCCAGTTTCAAGCTGGGAATAAGACATTGGAAATAAAATGGAGGCTACATAGGAAAGAAGGTTTTTGTTTATTGATGAGCAGAACCAGCAACAGCATGCAGTTCTGGGACAGCTTACAAAATGGAGTTGAGAGTGAGTGGGGTTTTATACCTTCTTTGGACTTTGTATTTGAGATGTCTGCTCCTGTGCAATGTACTTTGGCCTGTGCTTAAGTATGCCCTTTTGGTATTCTAATTATTGTTGCCTGACTCCCATTGTAGCTGGGAGGTCATGTCCTGTCCTTGGAGCTGGGTGGGAGAATGTAAATTCTTTATCCCATCTGCTGTGAGGGCTGAAGGAATTTTGCTTATGAATAGTGTGTCCCATCTTTCTGAATGGATTACCAAATCTCCATCTCTAAAGATTGGCCTCCTCAGGTTTCTTAGCTTGAAGCTGTTTTTCCTATGGCAGGGAGACTGCTTTCTGCCTTTGTTAAGATTTTTCTCCATTTCTCTTTTAGGGGAAATATTATATCCTGCCTGTTTTAAATATTCCCCAAAATATTTCACTCTCTGGGGGGGAGGTGCTGACTTCCTACAATGGTATCCTTCTAAACCAGCTTTGGGAGTTGGGGGTAGGCAGCACTATACTGTGCTAGTTCTCCTCTTTTCGTTCAGGGTTGATTCCAGTCAGTGTTGGGGGGGGGGGGCAGAGATCCAGTGTACAGCGCCTGTTTTGTGGATCCTCAGTTTTTCTTGGTTTTCTCTCCTCCCATATTTTAACATCCAGATGAGACTCCTGAGTGAGATGATTCGATAATTTGAGGTTATGTATCATAATATGCTGATGATATCCAATTTTATATCTCCATCCTGGGCTGCCTGAGTGATGCCATGAATATCCTGTTTCAGTGTCTCGAGACTGTTGGAATCGAGATGGAGTGCAATGGGCTTTCACCAAGCAAAGCTGAGGGGTTTTTTTTCTCTCTCTCAGCTATTTCCACCCATCCAATTCGGTCCAGAATGTTACAGGTCCTGTCAACCACGTAATTTTGGTTGATGGGAACTAGGAAATATGCTCTCTCTGCCATAACCCCCACCCTCTGGAATATTCTACTTTCAGAAATCAGGATGACCCAGGCTAGACTTCCATAAGGCTGTGAAGACCTGATCATGTGTCTGGGCAAAGGGCCCTGAACGTGTTAAGGCCCCTGTTTCTTGGCTATATTAACATCAATGGCAATAGTTTTACTCAACAGCCTTATATATTTATTTTGTATTGATTTAATTATTTTATTCTTTTATGCTTTTATGATACGTGCCACCCAGGGTCACTTGTTGAGTTGAGTGGCTATGTAAATTAAATAAATGAATAAAATATGCCTCATAAGCTCAATGTCCAATAACCATCTGAAATTGTAGGTAGTGACCAGACAATGTTTTTCTTAATGGATTCCATATATAAAATGCCCTCTCTAAGAAAACTCACTAGAATGAAGCAGAACTTTTCTCTTTTTTTTGCTTTTATTTTTATATGATTTAACAATGTATTGAGCATGTCAAAGAGAAATCTTACCTGCTGCTTTCTCTTGTTTTAGCCATTAATCTTAGACTTTGATAGAGATAGTATATATGGTATTTTATTAACTTTGTAAGTTACTGTAGATATGCTTACAGGTAGTCCTCAACTTAGCAATCATTCAAAGTTACATTGGACCCCCCCAAAAAGCTTCTTATAGCCCAGATTCAAAGTCAAGGCCCCCTCTCTGCCTTGACATGGCCACATTTTGGGTGCTTGGTAGCTGGCCAGCGTTTACAGCTGTTTGCAGAGTCCTGTGGTCACATGAGCATGCTTTAAGACATTTTTGCCGGAAACTATATGATAGCAGACATGATAGCAGTATTCCAATATCTCAGGGGCTGCCATAAAGAAGAGGGAATCAAGCTATTTTCCAAAGCACCTGAAGGCAGGACAAGAAGCAACGGGTGGAAACTAATCAAGGAGAGAAGCAACCTAGAACTAAGGAGAAACTTCCTGACAGTGAGAACAATTAATCAGTGGAACAGCTTGCCTCCAGAAGCAATAAATGCTCCAACACTGGAAGTTTTTAAGAAGAGACTGGACAGCCATTTGTCCAAAATGGTGTAGGGTTTCCTGCCTGAGCAGGGGGTTGGACTAAATGACCTCCAAGGTCCCTTCCAACTTTAATATTATTATTATGGATCATCGCACAGTCAGCCAGATGTTCAGACTGGATTTGGCATTTTGTCTACCTATCGAGTCCTTACCCAGGACCTGGGATAGGCAGACGTGGATGTTTGATGGTATTACAGATATCGTCGCAGGATGGAAGCAGTTCCTAGTAAGGCCGCCTTTTGCAATTGACTAATAGCGAATTTGTTAATGCCAATGGTGTTCAAGTGGTGCTCCAGTTGTTTTGGGATTGCACCCAAGGAGCCTATGACTATTGGTACTACCCTTGCTTGCTTTGCCACAGTCTTTCTATTTCTATTTGTAGGTCTTTGTATTTTGTTATCTTCTCCAGTTCTTTCTCGTCTATTCTGCTGTCTCCAGGCACTGCCGCGTCCACTATCCAGACTTTTTTGTCTTTCTTATTGACAATTGTTAAGTCTGGGGTGTTATGTTGTTGTTGTTGTTGTTGTTGTTATTATTATTATTATTATTATTATTACTACTAGTACTACTACTAGCATTTACTTCCAGTTTCCAGCAAAAAACACCTTATAGCAAACAATGTTCGCTTTTTGCATTCACTTAATGATCACCAAAAACAGGTCATAAAATTTGGTGCTATCATGTAGTAACCTATGTTACAATTGTCTGATGACCAAGGACTATTTGTATTTAAGAAATGCTTTTATGAGGAAGGCTACAGTAGATTACAAAAACATATTACATTATTCTGTCCAAACATGGCTTCAGAATGATTTCAGCCTGGTGCAAGAAAGTATATAAAGTATATAACAAAGTTTTGGACATGAAGCACCATAGCTGATAGGTATACAAAATATCTCAGGTTGAATCTCTGAAGTCCCTAGGGAAACCCTTATTGACAAACCAAAGAGATAGAGTATATGCTATGCATGCATAAAAATCAAAGACTCTTACTTGCAATCATGTATAATCTTTGCAAATCAACTGTAGGGACTCATGCCATAGTTCAAGAGAGCCTGCTGTGCACCAAAAGACTTACAAATATAATCAGTCAAAAGATCCATAGATTCATCCGTGAACAGGCTAGTTGAAAGATGGATTGGAAGAACATCTGTTAGTCAAGTTTTTGGCTCCCCAAGCAATGACCTTTCTCACTGTTAGGAGGAACTTGCTGAAAAAAAATGTGTTTCAGGTAAATATTCTACTGGATTAGATCTGTCAAATGTAATCTCTTGTTTTCATAAGATCCAACTGTTCTTGTTTAAAGCCACCATAGCTAGTTTACTTCTTATATTTGTGTTTTGTTATTTAAACAGGTGGATGACATTGCAGCAATTCAGGAAGTGGCAGTATTAGAGATGGAAAATAGCCACGCAATTGCCATTGAAGAACTTCAGGATGAATTTGAGCACAAAATTCACGGTAATTCTTTAATCCTAGCAAGCACTGGATTATTCTACCATTTTAGATGGTGATATGGGAGGAACCAATTTGAGTTTGTGGGATGCCTTCCTCAGAAAAGTCCAGGAAATTATACTATATTATACAAATTCTCAAGTGTCAGGTTAAAAATTGGTTATTTTATTTTAATTTCAAGTGTCAGACTAAAACTGGGCCATGTTGGTCTAAGACAGACATGTCAAACTCGTGACATCACGTGATGTCGCACGACGTATCAGGACTGTTTTGCCATTGCCAATAATGGGGTGGGTGCAGCTTCCACATGACGCATCCGGCCCATGGGCTGGCAGTTTGACACCCCTGGTCTAAGGGTTAAGGTACCAGGCTAGAAAGCTGGAGACTGTGACTTCAAATCCCATTTAGCTATGAAAGCCAGCTGAGTGATTTGGGGCCAGTCATTCTCCCTCAGCCCAACCCACCTCACATACCATAGTTGTTGTGGAAAAAATAGGAGGAGGAAGGAGTATTGTTTGTTGCCTTGAGGTACTTGTAAAAATAATAAAGGCAAGATATAAATAAATACAGAAAATTTCACTTCTACAGAAAGTCATCAATTAAAGGAACGAAGAAAACTTTATAATTTAGTCAATTGATTGTAGCATAAATAAATAACTATAAATAAATTGTCACTGCTATAGTTAACCCCAATCTGATCTATGTATTCTGTCCTCTTTGAGATGGACTTGGAAAAGAAGGGTGCAGGTGACATGTAGTTTCGTTCCCTGCAGTAAATAAGACTGTTTCTCCTGGCTGCCCCAATTTTTTTAGTTTTCAAATAAGGGTATAATAAGCTTCTGGAGAGTACAATTTGCAGTCAACAAGAATGTGTTCAGTGTCTTCAGTGGCTGGTGTTCCACAAATACACTGTCTTTTTTCAATTGGGACTCCATAAAATCTCCCATGTCTTACCATTTGAGCCCATTTGTTCAAACTGATTTCTAGAAAAAGCTCTTCTGAGATGTTGAGGCAAATCAGATGTCAGATATTTTTATGACCGAAGCTGGCTTGTATTGAGCCAGTCACTTTAGAGACTTGACACATTTAAGTGCTGCAATATTATCTTGGGCAGCCACATCAATAATGCTTTGTTTGAAGACTTCGTTGGCCTTTAGATCTGATTAGACTGGAAATTGGATGGAGAATCCATACTGAGAGATGACATTTGAAAGTTGGGTAGCCCAGGTGTGAGGTTGCTTGTTGGGAAACTGCTCTTCTGGGTCCATGAATAGGATAGTCAATAATTGAATACATAATAATAATAATAATAATAATAATAATAATAATAATAATAATTACAAAAAGCCCAACTCTGAGGCTGTCCACAGTTGAATTCTTCTATGGGTGTATAATTCTAAAAGTATAGTATAAAAGTATAATGAATGTACATTGCAACTACCTAGATTTTATTTAAATATAAAGAAAAACTTCCAGATAGGTCTCTACAATAGTGGAACAGTTACTAAGGTTGTGAGTTCTCTGTCTTTGAGACACGGCCAGGCATGTCTCAAGGATGGCTTCATATATCACAGAATAGTGGACTAGATGATCTTTGGGGTTCTTTCCAATTCCACAGTTCTAGGATTCAGAGATTCTTTCTATATCAACTTTTGGGATTATTATCCAAGAATCATTTTTATTTTTACTGATATCATGTCTCTTATTTTTATTTTTACAGGGCATTCATTCAAAGAAATATTATTTTAAAAAGAAATATTTTGATTTGACATATCAAGTTATATTACACATATTTCTCACCTTGTCTCTCTAAATATTTTGTCTATAATTCCCGAAACTCTTGACCATTGATCATGCTGATCGGGTTTTATTCATTCAAAATGTATGAAGAGTATTAAATTGTCTCTTCCTACCATCAGAAATCTGTATTAAACAACTCACAATCAATTTTTTGCTTATTTATTTAACATTTCACTTGATAGATGAAACCGAGATATATAGATAAGATAGTTCCTATCTTATATTGGTCCATTTTACTCAATGTTATCTACAATGACAGAGAATGTTTGGGGGGCCTCCATTGGGATTGTTTTGGTTTAATTTTTCTAAGATATTTATATATTAAAAAACAATGCTAACAATTCCTTTTCTGCACATATTAGTACTGAGCTATGGTCTCAGAAGAGCTTGCTAGGAAAATCATAAAAATTGCTCTAGTATCTTTTTGACTAGGAGTTTTATTATGACATAGTTTCCCTAGCAACAGCTTCTACCTAGGAATTTATAATCTATCAAATTTGGGCAGGAGAAAGTTAAAGGCAATGCAAATGGCCCACTAAAATTGGAGAAGCTTTGTCTAAAGCACTGCTGTAGAAATAAATATTTAGCAACAACTCTAAGATAGATTATTATTGAAAGCATTATTGACTTTCCTAAGTATGGAATCCCAATCATTAAATATCAATACTGTTTCTCAATTATACATACTCTAACCATCATTATTAATATTTTTCAAAGCTATTTTGGTGTATATTAAGTGTATTTTACATCTCTGTCATGAATGACATCTCTCACCATTCTTTAATAAACAAAATTCCACTTCTTGTCTAAACTATTATGCTGTTTGAAGAGCAATTGTAAGACTTAGCGCAGATGTTGCTTATCTCCAATCATCTAAGGTTTATGCAGGTTTATGCAATAAGATTGCCCTCTTGTGAGTGAAGTTAGCATTGAAACAGGTTTTTATTATTTATGAAGTCATGAGCTTATAGCAATTAATTTTTAACACATGGGTTATTAAACCACAAATTACTGGGGGTCAACAAAATGTCATCAATATTTAAGAAGAGAGGTGTCTTTCTTTCTTTCTTTCTTTCTTTCTTTCTTTCTTTCTTTCTTTCTTTCTTTCTTTCCACACTGTATAGGCTGTCAGCTGAGTTTACAACAGGAAACTTCTAAATTCACTAGATCACAGTAACTGAATCAACAAATATTCATTCAGCAGTTCCAAATTTAATTTTTTTTAACTATCGCAGTTTTCATTAAAATCATATTAAAATGCAAACATGGGCACGCTCATGAAATGTGTGTGATTTCTTTACAAAAATTCCCTCTAGAAATGAAGTCTGCTCATGAACAAGAAAAAAGAGAACTTGAAGAAAATTTTGAAAAGTTGCGCTTGTCACTCCAGGTTAGTATTTTATTCATATGCTGGTTGGAATTGTTGCTTGTTACATTATGTGAATCTCCTGAAGAACAAAATTCTTCCAGCAGTTCAAAAGCAGCAACATGAAACAGACTCTAAAGTATCTTGATACGGAGCGGTTTGTGTCTATTAAAATACCTCCTAGCTTCCCTTTTCATCAGCCGTACTTGTCTACTATTTCTTTGATTAGTGCTGTGAGTTTGCATACAGATGGTACTCAAGAACACCCCCCCCCCCAGGTTAGGATTTCTGGGGTAAGATTTTTGTTATTTGTTTTTCTCCTGCTTCAAATTATTTTTGAAGATCAAGCCACAAAATGTTTAAAGGCAGCAAATGAAGAATATGCTGGAAAAATTACATTGTTTCTCTATCTTGAATCCTGATTCATTTTTATTAATAACCTGGATTAAGAAGTTGAGGAAATCACACTTGCACAAAACCAGGGCTGGCTAATATTTTTAGAAGAAAAAGGGGGGATCCAAAAAAGATCTAAAGTGTTTGAACAGAAAGAAACTTTAGCAGGGAGAAATGGAAAGTCCAGTTAAAGAAGCAATGCTGTTCTGGGATGAAGTCTAAAAGAGACTTCATTGGAGCAAGTTCAGAGAAGGGCTAACAAGATCAGGGAAAAAGTGGAAGCCAAACCCTATGCAGTATAATTAAAGGAACTTGGAATGTTAAACCCGCAGAAGTAAAGTCTTCAGATCTTTAAAGAGTTGTCATTGTAAAGGAAGAACTGGACTTGTTCTCTGTCATCCTGTAAGAGCTTGAAATTACAGGGAAGAGGATGCCGGTCAACCAGTAGGTATCTCAGGAAATGATATGTAGGCCTTCAGCGTAGAGATTAGGTAACCATCTACATGATATCCGAGCTGACAATGACTGGCTTGTAGCCATAATGCACAGCTCGATGAAAACGTTAGTCCCTTTGTGAAACAGTCCCAATTTCATGCTTGGAGGCAATAAAAATGAAATTGAAAAAGGAACTGCTAATATAATTTTGCTCTTATACAGTTCTGTGATAAGACCACATTTGTGCTATTTGCTCAGTAATGATTTATAGTGATTTCCAGGTATCACTGGGATGATAAAACTGTAACAAAGACAGGCTTTATATCACTACAGCCCTGGCTGGCTGATGCTACAAAACACTAAATTACTAGTGAGGAAATGTCCTTGGAGTATTGTGTACAGTTCTTGTTATCATGACTGAAAAGGATATCGTAGATCTGGAAAACATCTGGCAAAATGATCAGAGGGCTGGAACTGTTCCCTTGCAAGCAAAGATTATGGCTGAACTAGCCTGATCTATCCAGGCTCTTCTGAGTTTCTGATGAACATTGAAATCAAGCATATATAAAGGTAAAAGTCAGGTCATGTCCGACTATAGGGAACAATGCTGTCCAGTCATGTCTGACTATAGGGAACAGTGCTCATCTCCATTTCTTAACCAGGAGAGCCAGTGTTATTTGAAGACAATTTCCATGGTCATGTAGCCAGCATGACTATACACTGAGATGCACTGAATGCTGTTACTTTCCCATCACAGTGGTACCTATTTATCTACTCATATTGGCATGCTTTTCAGCTGCTAAGTGGGCAGGAACTGGGTAAATAACAGGAGCTCACCCCTTCATGCAGTGCTCAGGTCTTGAACCTGGGCTGTAAGCTTTCCAGCTGGCAAGCTCAGTGTCTTTAGCCACTGAGCCATCACACTTCCTCAAGCACATATACCAAGGACACACATGTAAATTATTGATTATTGTTTTATGTGTTACCTTTGTTCAATAGTTTGCAAAGTCAGATTTTAAAAGGTTGCATTAAAACCAAATTTAAATCATGATAAATACCACAATATAAAAGAGGTAGAGGGAAGGACAAATGACTAAATATATGTTGCAAAACAAATAAGATGCTTGCAACATTATGTCACAATACACATTTTGGCATTGCTGTAATACAGTTAGGAACAGAGTCATGGCTACCACTACTAATGACCCAGCATTTTCAAATACTGTATTCAGTGAAACATATTCTTCCATGAATGAATAATAGGAAAAAAGAAATGAAGATGATGCTTTTTTCATGTATTGGCTATGTTCACATGCCACCATGGACTATTTATCTATGGTTTATTCAAGAAGCCACAGTTGCTGCATTAACATACTAAAACCTATTCTCCTTTATTGATAAACCCTAAACATTATGATTTGCCTTAAAAGTAACCTAAGTGGTGCACTAGGCTGGATGGGAAGCGTTTGCTGTGTTTTTGAAGAGTGAAATTGGTACCTCGACACTTGTTGTAATTCTGCTTAGAATGATGTGGCAGCATAGACAATTGGCATTTCTTAAACTAACACAACACAGACCTGCAGAAAGATTAAAACTGCCAACTTCATGACAAGGACAAAGAATCACTGGTGGTCTCAACTGCTATAAATCCTCAAAAAGCAAAGCAGAAAATCTTTTAACTCTTGAATGGACAGGAGGAAAATTAAACACTTACTTATGCATATGACACTCACACATACATACATACACACATCCCATCTTGTTGCTGTGTATTCATCTAGTTGTATAAAAAAAAATATCAGAGCAGTTTCTGTTCTGAGGATCTTAAACACTATGAGACTTAAATACTTTCTCCTTAAAAGACTGGCTAAGCTAGAACATCTAAAAGCTCTGACTGAGGCAGGAGGCAGAGCTTCCTTCTGCAAGCTTGGAAATAGACAACTATCAGCTCCAGCAAGCTGCAACATTTCAAAGATAAGGCTAGTTTTACTATAACTCCAAATATCCTGCTTGTTGTTGTTAGTTGCGAAGTTGTGTCCGACCCATCGTGATCCCATAAACAACGTTCCTCCAGGCCTCTACCATCTTCTGGAGTCCATTCAAGCAGAAAGGCCATTCTCCCATGCCCCATACCTTCTATCTAAAATGGAACTTGATCATGCAGGCTACAAGAAGAGTTATACCAGAAGAGTAAGATCTACAAATGGAAGGATGGAGAAAATGAACAGAACAGAATAGGAATAGGAATAGAATAGAATCTGGAAGGGACCTTGGAGGTCTTCTAGTCCAGCCCCCTGCTCAAACAGAAGAATCTGGCCTTCCATGTCAGCCACCTCATCTCCTCTCAGTCAAGGAAGGGATATTTTATGTAATCAAAATGGTGAGGGAAAATGGCCATAAAACTCAGGCTCATCGCTGCAGGGGAGAAGATCCTCCTCCTCCTTTTCTCTTCTTTCTTCTCTCCCATTAATTGCTGAAGCCAGTAGGGTGCTTTCTCAACATTAATTAGTAACTCATGTCTGACAGATTTGCCTTGAGGCTCAGAGAACTCTATGCTACCCACTTTGGGGTTTACTTAAAACAATTACTTTTTTTTTTCAGAGGACATATCTAAAATGTTTGCCCAGAAGTGAATTAGATCATCATTCACAAGTGATTGTATTTAATATCATTTACAGGACCAGGTAGATACTCTCACTTTTCAAAGCCAGTCTCTAAAGGACAAGGCAAAACGATTTGAAGAGGCATTGAAGAAAAACACTGAAGAACAACTAGAGGTAATCAATACAGTATATGTTTGTGCATTATTCACTCTAACTCAAAAATACAAAAGATGTTTTTCTTGTTCTATGACATTACAAGAGAAATTCCAGAACCAGATTAAAGGGCCTACTGATTGAAGCCTGCAACTTTCTGGATTAATGTCTACAAATAAGTCTACCATCCCTGCTGTTTTCATTCCATCTTGTCAAAATATGAAGCAGGTGCCAGCATTATGAATCTTCCCTTCATAGCTTCTGAATGGAGAGGCTTCAGTCAGTTCAGCTGCATCAACCAGCATCTTGCTGTTTTCTTTAATCAAGTTGTATTCAGGTTGCCAATTTAATTAAATCAGGATCGATTTGTACAAGCTCAGTTTGTATTGTTTTTACACTACTGAGCATAGGAGCCCCTGTCCTGTGTGATCCAATAGTGCTGCTTCCCGTGTCATTCTGTGTTTTTTTAGGTTGCCCTGGCTCCGTATCAGCATTTAGAAGAAGATATGAAGAGCCTAAAGCAGGTCCTGGAGATGAAGAATGTACTTATTCATCAACAAGAAAAGAGGATCGTGGAGCTAGAAAAGCTGGTGATGTCTCATTTGCTGCTGTTTTCATATTGTTTATGAAAAACTTGAAGTGATTAAAAAGCACAGATTAATATGTTGTTGCTTATCTATCAGAACAATCTTGCCCAATTAGACACCTTCCATATGCAGAGGTGTAGAGCTCTCACCTTCGCCAGTGTGTTTTGCCTGGCTAAAAATTGTTTCCCGTGACAACACTTGATCAGCAACTAATGTGGAATTGCTAGTGACAAGTTCTTAAAAACTTTTGTCTGTCTTAGCTGCATCTTACATGTGGTTGCAGTAATCCTAATTTTCTAATTATTAGATTCCAGAGGTGAATATACACGTGGTTTAATTCAGATCTGGGTAGAAATGACTTGTAGAAAACTTTTATATCATAATCTTTTGGAGAAAGTCTCCAATACAAATTGCTTGGATTCAGAGGCATCTGTAGAATCCAGCAATTTCTCAGAATAACAACTCTGTGCAGGATTTCCCCCCTAGGGACATGCATGCTTCATTACAGTGTTTTTTGCAGAAATGCTCAGAGTTGAATCATATTGTCAAAATACTTTCATCATTCTCCCAGTCCCACCCCTCACAGACACCCATGCTTGTAAATATAACAGCCTCCCTATCTCTTTAGGCAGAAAAGAATTTAATTCTAGAAGAAAAAATTCAAGTACTACAACAACAAAATGAAGACCTCAAAGTCAGGATTGATCAGAACACTGTGGTGACAAGGTCAGTTTAAATATTTTCTACAGAGCAAGAGGATAGGGCAACCATCAGCTGATTTAATTGTATCTTTTTTATGTTTACTGTGCTCAAGAGAATCAGAGTCCTGGAAGAATACGAACATTATTCTATACATTGAGAGTTCATATGCCATGCTGATTAGGGTTGCTACAGCAGGAATTATTTACAAATAGGTATGAAAGTATCAATCTCACATGTGTTCAGTTAGTTTTTTGCCCATTGGGAAATGCACTGAAAATATGCTCTTAGCTTGTATATTTTCTGTAAAATGTGCTTTTTGTGCATATTTTCTATCTATGTATATTGCCTAAAATACACTGTATTCTGATCCATGAAGAGGTGCAAGAAATGTGAATGGAAAACATTCATTTTAAAAAATAAAGAAAAAATAAAATTGTCCAGCATCCCAAGTAACATTTACAGGATTGTACTCTACACGACTGAACTATGAATCAAAGATTTGCTTAATTCAAATTACAACATCCATGAATTGTTTGAGTGCTTATTTACCATAGTAATATTTCATAAATTCACTTTCTAGTAATAGTATATGAGTCAGAAATGCCTTGCTGAAGTGGGGTTGTTGACCTTTTGTTTATCTTTATGTACCCACATGAGGTAAAACATCATTGTCCATTGTTGCACCAATGTTATGGGTGCTTCTCTAACCACGTTCTTCCTTCCTTGAGTCTTTGGCAGAAAATTGCATCAACTTTTTCCTTTGAAGGAATAGAAGCAAAAAAAGTTTCAAAATAAGCAAGAGTTAAAAAAATAATGAATAGTCCTAATTATGAAACAAAATGCAGGTGAGCAGTTTGTTGTACATCTAAGCTCTTCTCTTCATCTGCTTAACACAGATGCATATTTGCAAGGGTCAGTCACACAGCTGCTTTAAAAGCTTTTATAAGCTGTTCCCAATTTTCTGTATCTGCATTGCCAGATCTGCCAGCATAAGTCAACATCTGTAAGTTGATGTACATATTATTAGTGGCATTAACTTTTCTGGCTGTGAAGTGTTATGAAATTATGATGCTATGTTCTCCTGAGTCAAATAACTCAGTCATCTACCGTAGCATGTATATTCAGTTGGCAATGATTGTCTCAGACTAACCTACTATCTAAGGTCTTTATAAGTAGAACTAGGGGACTTATCCAGATACTTTTTACACTGTTGTTTCTAAATGTATAGTATAAAATTGTTCAGGTCTAATTTATATGTAGGCCTGTTGCTGGACTTCTCTATGCTTCAAAATGATTATGATGAATTTTTTTTAATCAGTGGAGTAAAAAAGCTCTTTAGGAAAAAATATTGTATTTGTTGAAGTCCTGGTCAATGATCAGAGTGTTCTTCCTGTTTGTGATGTCAAGTTTGGTGTTCTCTTGTCATCTTCTCCAGACAGTTATCTGAAGAAAATGCTAATCTCCAAGAATATGTTGAGAAGGAAAGCAAGGAAAAAAAGAGGCTGAGCAGAACAAATGAAGAGTTGCTGTGGAAACTGCAGACCTCAGAACCCATGAGTCCTGTTAAACTATCTCCAACTTCTCCAACACGCATTTACCGCTCTTCATCGGGACCCCCAACTCCAGCTAAAGTCAGCACAGTACCAAGATGACAGACCAATGCACCTACTTAAACAGACTTGGCCCAGAATATGGAAAATTGCAGTCCAAGCAAATTATTATGAACTGCAGTGAAAGATTTGTTGCTGGTCCCACCTATTCTCTAGTTCCTTATGATTAGGCAATGTACTTTTGTCATTTCAGCATCAGCAACTCAGAACGAGGTCAAAAAATAGCAATGTAGTCTGATGCATGGAAACATCTTCTGGGATTAGAGGCAAAAGCACTGGAAAACTCTTACTGTTACTTATCATTCACTCTGAATGATTTCTTTTTCCACAATAATATTTCGGGTTAATTGCAAATAGCTCTGCTTACATCTATGGCTTTGGTGAAGTATGGATTGTATTAAAATACAGGCACAAAATGTAAACACCCAAAAGGCCTACATACTGTATACAGCTCTGCATGTGTAACCGTAGCTGTTCTGAGTTGCAATTTTTCATGAACTAATTTTGCAAAAAGTGCTGATATTTTCAAGACAGCAATTTTGTAAAACGTGCCTAAAAATTATTCTGAAAGGAATTGCTTTTGGGTGGGGGGGGAGGGGTGGCTGGGGTCAAAGCTTCCCAGGAACATTTCTATCCAGACTAGAAAAAAGTTAGAAAAAAGGAGAAGCATCTTCTAAATGACCACCGAGTGGTACATTCTCTAAAGCAGGACACCAGCGACTTTTGAATTTTTAAGTAGTTACTGACTTCAAAAATGAAAATTGATTTTCTACTCAATGCCTACCATGGTCACTCATTTTCCAGGTTTAGTATTTGCAATTGTAGTCAGCCAGTTACTTTATTTATTTAGCTCATAAGACTGACTTGCTTTTTTTAAGGTTTCTAAATTGCTAACAAGTTAATATATATAAAAACATGAACACAAATCTTCCTTTCCCCCCCCCCCAAACACGATAAAACTTTTCTTTGTACAGTGACCATCAAATTTTGGCTAAAATACTAATAAGTTCGGTTGAAGACAAGAAGTAGTTTGGATGTTCTTTGACTGTATTTTGCTCTCTTTTGCATATAAAAAACCCTGCTCTACTGACAGAAGCTGCTTCTCATTCAGAGATAACCTGAAGGCATAGTCATCCCAGGCAGCTGATTTGTGGCACATTATTTAAAGAAGTGCCAGTGAAGCAATTTGCAAGCCGAGAAGGTTGACTTTGATCATTGATTATTCAATTATGTTGTGGTTGTATGTGGTATTGGCATATTAAGCAACTTTGTTAGAGATACCAGATACAGCTCTAAAAGCAGGGGCCTAAACTTGACCATTAACATTGTGCACGTCACTTACTCCATGTTCACAGGATTTTATCTCAGTTTATGGCCAACCCACTGGGTTCAGTATTTCTGCTTTTCTTAATTGCCATCTGAACACTGGTACCCAAATATGTATTTAGTAGTAGCACTGAATGGGGTATTCCAGTTGTTCAAATGTAGACTGGCTTCTTAAAAGTGTATTGTGGGGGACAGGATAGTAATATATTTGGAGATGATTCTTGATCTCAATGAAAGTATGAAAAGTATGCAGCCAATATCCCTTATTGTCTTTGATGTGTTAGAAGGTGTTCTAGCATGTTGTCAGATATATTAGACTAGACTGTGAAAGCACTAGATGCTTGTGGAGCATAAATTGTCTAAGTTAGCCTTCCCCAGTTAAAAGCCTCCAGATATAGTGGACTGCAAGCTCACATGGCTCTTAATCTACTTTTGGGGAATTAAAGGATTTGTAGCCCAGAAATCTTACTAATGCTGTGTTGAGCAAGGCTGACTTAAGCAAATGTAAGTCTTGTTATTCAATTCCATGTGGCACTTTGATTCTCGATTAGTGGCTGTAGCTTAGTATATATTTTGCACAGTCATGACTGAGTCCATCAAATTAAGAATTGTTGAAAGGGCCACATTATGTGAGAAAGCAGGAATTCATATAGTGAAAAACATGCTGTGACAAATACTTTGCTGAAATTTGCACAAACACTTAGTCCAGAAAGTCTGCTTAGTGTTTGGGAATTGCTGGTAAAGCCTAAACTGACCACCACAGATTTATGGCCTAATTCCATTGTGTATAAAGTAGCAAGATTGATTTCCCCCCGTAGGAGTTTATTTTTGTAGCTGCGTTGCATGATATTATATTAAGAACATCATCTTAGATTAGCTCATGTCATGTTTGCAGAATTAGATTTTACATAAGGGCAAAATGAATTGAAAACAGGAAAATAGTGACAATGACTTACCAATGCAATTTTATCAACCTTTTATACATAAATGTTGAAGATAGAGAACACCACAGTACGCTTGTCCACTTATTATGTTATCACTATGAACAGTGTTGCCTCATCTAATCCATGTTACCATGTTGATATATTTGTTCTTCTATTGCTTATAAGTTATGTATCACTCTTTGCTGGCAGGCTATGGAGCTAGTCATTCACAGGTGAGTGATTTGTCCATTGGCATCTCTGTTGAAGTTGTTTCATTTCCCCTCACACAATAATGCTTCCAGCTATGATGGGGATTTCAGCTGATAGTGGTTAGAGCCAGCCTACAAAAGCTTAACCTTAACTATTATTTCTATGCATATACCGACTAGAAGATAGTCATTAACCATGTATGCTATACTGATTTTCTGCATCCTTAACAGCAAAGCCAACTCTTTCCTTCTGTATCATAATTCATTTTTTTTAATTTCAAGCAGAAAATTATCATTTGCATGATGTTACATTGCTAAGCAATACCAAAACATAGAAGGCCCAAATCACCATTGCCATTGTGCCACCATCGCAAAGCACTTGTGAAACATGTTAAAGTCATTTTTGAGATGGCACGAAGGATTGATACAATTTCAATGGAACTGCCAGATTGCTTTGGCTCACCTAATGTAACATTTTTGATGACTTTCGATGTGACCAGCTTCTCTCAAATTATAAAACTATTGAAGATAGACAATGGTAATAGTACTAATAAAGGAGACTATTTGGGGATAGTCCACAATGGGGATGGTCCAACAGCCCAAAAATACTAGTTACAAGAGTTCTGTACAAACTTAAAAGAAACTTGTTTTGTGCAGCTTCCATCTCACAACATTAAAGCATAGAGCAGGCTGAACTATGTTCTTCATAGTTGGGCACTTAAATCTGTGCCAGGTGTGCATCTTTTCCTAATTAGGTTTAACCACAATCAGCTTGTATGAAAGGAAGTACAAGAACTAGCTTGGAAAAGTGATTCCTTTAACTTTGAGTTCGGCTTCTATCATTTCAAACTCAATGTTGGACAGAATTGCTCCAAGTGTATGAGGCAAAGGGAGTTGTGAATCTTCTTTTGAATCTTATAGTCTAGTAATTGTAGTACTGGAAAGAAAAATGAGAGAACTCTGCACAATAAATAAGAGGTGCTGCTGGAAAGATTTAGGAAGAAATCAGCCTTGACAGAACTCTCCCAAAGATTGGCTATATTATACTATATTATACTGATACATTAGGTAAGTCTCCCCGCACACACACCGGCCATATTTATCTTTAAACTAGAAGCCTTGTCCTAGATTAAGAATATTTTAATGTAAGCTTGTGAAAAATATTGGAGATAGTTTTACAATTAGAAACGTGTAGTTTTAGTAAATATACTATTTGAAGATCCAAGCGGAAGTAGGTCAGGAACATGTGTGCTCATACTCTCCTACTACATTTAAGACACTAAAGTAAAACAGTTGCCCTGAAAAGTTCTTAACAGATGGCCTTTGACACGATTTGCCAGCTGATTGTTGGAAGCATAACACACTTGCCATTCTTTTCCCCAAACTGTTCTGTCTCACCTCAAAACCAAGAATGCAATCTCATTTCCACTGTAATCCTTCTTTTTGGGACAAGAGTGGCAATGCAGTACTATAGTACGTATCTCTGAGCTTCAAACAAAATATGGCAGTTACAAAAAAATTAGGAGTTGTGTTTCCCTATATCCCCTATTTGTCTTTCCTGGAAGTCATCAAAATTCATTCTGGCCACCAAATTATCCCAGAAAAATCTTCCATAGGTTGCCTAAAGGTTCTTCAAAGTAATTCATGAAAAAAACAAGCAGATAGAAAAATAGTGAAATGATAGTTTGGCTACCTTAGAAAGAACTTTGGAGAGATAGCTGTTAGTCATATTTATCATCAAGAAATCAGCCAGAAATGAACCCAAAGATATATTTTGGATTAAAGAACCCAAATCAGGTATTTTAAGGGTCTGCACTAATTGCATTTATGTCCCATGGACATATGGTAGACTTTCATGTAAAGTGTCTCCTGCCCACCCACCACCCCACCATTGTTGTAGGGGTTTGTGGTCTGATAATACATGACTGTTTGAATTAGAAGAAAAAGTTTGTATTATTTCAGTTACTGTGTAAAGATGTGTGTAATATATTCCTGGTAATAAATACATGCTCCAGCATTACATTATGGCGTGCTTCTGTATTGCTTTCAGTAACTTTACATCTACCAAACTTGTGCATTTGCTTTATAAAAACCAAATCAATAATCTAATATTGGTGAATAAAGGAAACCCTAAAGTAATTTCATTACAACTTTTATTTTTTAATTAAAGCTTACTGGGTTGAAAATTCACGCTTGCTGTCTTTTCGAAGACATTAGCACATGAGAACCCCATGTATAAAATCAATATATATCATAAACTGGGCTAAGAAGTATTTAGTCTGTAATGCCCTTCCCAGTAATCCTCACTTATCAGAAATGCTGCATTTTTGCTTTGTAGTTTGAATATAATGCAGATTACCAGTGAAAGATTGCAAATACAACCGAAAATAATTTTGCAACATGTTATGCAGCAGTTGCCAACAGGGCGATTATATGTGTATTTCCTTCTTTCCCATCACACATTTTACATTTGCTGCATTATTTCAATGGTATTCTACATTTTACAGTGCTCTTACCATTGACCGCTGCTATTTTGGGATTTTGACGTTGTGTTCCGAAGGACATGACATTGCATTAAACTCAACAGAGGAAGTCCCTCTTTCCTATTGTGTTATTTTCCCAGGGGAGGTGTGTACTTTTTTCTTTATTTGGGTCAGAAGTAAATAGTAAGAAGAGCTACTCTCTGCCACCCATTCTCTCCCCATCTTTTTATCTTCTCTGAGTTGCTGCAGGAGGACCACTTTTTCCAGATAGATCTGTTGCAGATAGCATTTGAAATCAAGAAAACTATAATCTGTCTTTCTCCACAAAAGCCAATGAGATGTAGCAATAGAAAAAGGAGGTAGAGGGCACATCCCATGTTAAGAAACCTATGTAATTAAATCGTTTAAAAAATTATATTAAGACCACAGCAGTCTTAAGCAGAAGAGCTATTTAGTGTTACTAAGAAATTAAAAACAAAAAGGCAAAATTCAGAAGTTGGATTCTTACACAGAACAGCAATTACATGCAACTTATTTGTTTAAACAGAAACATTTATTAGAACTGGCAAGACAAAATTAACATAATTTATTTGAATTTCAAGGAACAAATTAATGTTGTTCATC